ATTAAATCATGCACATCTGGTAAACCTGATTAAATCATGCACATCTGAAGGTGCGGCTCTAAATGTTAGCTAAAGTTAGGCTGTTTTATCGTGTCCTGCTAACTGGATCTGAAAGACGAAACGTTTCAACACAAAGAATCCGTCCAGAGGACCTGATTTAGATTTTATACCTGGATTACTGAGCCTGAACTTTGATTTGATTTGAGTTTATAAAGTTAATAATTCTGTAAACAAGTTATTAAAGTGTCAGCTGTAGCAGTTCCAACAAGATCTACAAATAATTTCTTCTAAAGTAACAATGCCAAACAAAAGTGAATTTTAAAGGTTTATTCATGAAATATTGTAAAATGGGTTAAATGGGTCCATCCATCCATCCATCCATCCATCCATCCATCCATCCATCCATCCTCTTCTTCTTGTTCTGGACTCAGGTCTTGGGGGCAGCATCTTGAGCAGGGAGGTCCAGACATCTCTCTCCACAGCTTCTTCCAGCTCTTCTGGAAGGACACCAGGGTGTTCCCAGGTCAACTGAGAGATGTAGACTCTCCAGCGAGTCCTGGGTCTCCTCCCAGTCGAACATGCCCGAAGCACCTCCCTAGGGAGGTGCCCAGGTGGCATCCTTACCAGATGAACCTCCTCAACTGGCTCCATTGGATGTGGAGGAGCAGCGGTTCTACTCTGAGTCTCTCCTGATAACTGAACTTCTCAGCCTGTCTCTAAGGGAGAGTCCAGCTCCTGCAGAGGAAACTCATTTCAACCTCCTGGATCCACGATCTCATTCTTTCAGTCCCTTCAGAGTTCATGACCAGAGCTGAGGGGAGGAACGTAGACTGACCAGTAAACAGAGAGCTTTGTCTTACAGCTCAGCTCCCTCTTCACCATAACAGACCAGTACAGAGTCCACAATACTGCAGACGCTGCACCAATCCATCTGTCAATCTCATGCTCCATTCTTCCCTCACTCGTGAACAAAACCCCAAGATACTTGAACTTCTCCACTTGAGGCAGAACCTCACCCTGGACCTGAAGAGAACAATCCACCCTTGTCCGGCTGAGGACCATGAACTCAGATTTGGAGGTGCTGGTTCTCATCCCAGTTGCTTCACACTCAGCTGTGAACCGCTCCAGTGAGAGTTGAAGATCACGGCACGATGACGCCAACAGGACCACATCATCTGCAGAGAGTAGAGATGAAGCCTGAGGCCATGAACTGGACTCCCTCCACCCCCTGGCTGCACCGAGAATTTCTGTCCATAAAAGTTATGAAGAGAATCTGTGACAACGAGCAGCCCTGGTGGAGTCCAACTCACACCCTGAAGAGTCCGACTTACTAACGGCAACGAGAACCAAACTGTCGCACCGCTTGTTTAGAGACTGAACAGTCCATAACAACGGGCCCCCAATCCCATACTCACAGAGCCCCCCCCCCCCCTCCCCCACAGTGTACCCCAAGAAACACAGTCGAATGCCTTCTCCAAGTCCACAAAACGCATGTAAACTGGATGGGCAAACTCCCATGACCCCTCGAGGACCCTAGTGAGGGTAAAGAGCTGATCGAGTGTTCCACGGCCAGGACGGAACCCGCATTGTTTCTCCTAGATCTGAGGTTCAACCAATGATTGGACTCTCTTTTCCAGTACCCCTGAATCGACCTTACCAGGGAGGCTGAGGAGAGTGATGCCCCTGTAACTGGAGCACACCACATCCATTCCAGACTTCAATCGTTCATCCAAACGTCATCGTATAAACATCACTGGCAGCTTCGCATTTTACCATCTACATTCAGATTTCAATCAGACTAGCCGAAGTTACGTTTTGCTGCGGCTAGCATCGGCTGCCACCTTTTGGGCTAAAAAAGAACCACTGATTTCCATCAAACAACTACGTAAGGCAACGTTTCAAGAGCTACGTGGAGATAATATATTAATGTAACATTTAAAGAGAGTCCCGTTTGAAAATGTCTGAACTTCTGTAATAAATGGAGACCTGTGGTTCAACCAGACCAGTCTTTGTATGAATTCAAAAGGTCTTTTAAGTAAATACATGAAACCAACCAATTTCACTTAACTGAAGCCATGAAGGAGAACAGGTGGTTCTGGCCTTCCATACGTCCAGCCCTGCATCAGGGCGCAGAGGTCAGTCACAGCTTCTAAGACTCCAGACCAGGACCCTAAAGAAACCTCTGTTTTACAGACTCAGCTGTGTATGTGAGCGTTTCCTGTGCCGTCAGTAACACGTAACCACGGCGGTGACATTTAAAATCTTTGGAATAAAAGCCCCAGACTCTGACATAAATAACGTCACAAGTGTCAAGCATCTCCACGAACTCGTGACCCAGTCAGAGAGCAAACCATTTGTATTTGTGGGACGTGCCAGCCGCCCTGAAGAGGCTCGTCTGTTGGTAACTTGTCAACTTATTTGTCCGCTCCTTCGTCTCCGAGCCTCCTCCTTCGTGTTGTACCTGCCAGTTCTGCCAGGAGCGCTCACTCCCCACCAAGAGGACCCCTCCTAATTATTTTAGAGGAATGTTCTGGTTAATGGTCTGGCTGTTATCCTATATCACCTGAGCAGCACAGTAACGTCGGTCTAAGCATTGTCTCAACTTGCTTGAAAGGGCACAGAAAGGAAAAAAAGAGCCGGTATGCACCCTCCAGATTCTCCACCCCCCATTTACGTCTCCCATGTGCACAGCTGTGATTTATGGCACTGGAGTGGGAAAAATAGAGCATGTTTTTGTGTGTTTTAACAACTGAATCTTGACTCGGTAACCCTTTAAAAACAGATGAGTCTTTAAGACGTTTTACGTCTTGATCTATTGTGTCAAAGTACTTTATTGTCCTCGTTGGGTACAAAATGCCATCTGAGCGACCCTACAACTTATCAAAGCTGTGCTCAATGCCTGCCCTTATCGACCTCTTCATAGGGGGAACGGGGACTTTCTGGACCACCTGGAATCCAAGGGGAGACGGGAATCGGCCTTCCGGGACCCAAGGTAACGCTCGCCTCCCTGCTGTTTTGGAAAATGGTGTCATGAGAGCATAATAACCTACCTTTCTGTCTCATCCTGTCTGAGCACTCGCCTTGCTTTCTCGTGCACTGCAGGGGGATGTCGGTTTCCAAGGGCAACCAGGGCCTCCTGGTCCTCAAGGAATCGGTGAGCCTGGACCACCGGTGAGTTAGGAACCAGCAAAACAAAACAGAAACATCTCACTCGATGTGTACAGGAGGCAGCGGTTCAATGCAATCGACCAGTTTCTGACCCGTTTGTCACGTCAGCATGCGATGAAACAAGCAGCAGATTTAGCAGGAAACTCTGAAAGCTCGGGTTCAGAGGTTGCACATACGGTTTTAAAATAGAACGTTTCGTCTCGTGATTTAACACAACGAACAAAGTGAAACAGGAGGATATAAAAACCTGACCCACTTTAACATGAGCCGAAGGTTTATGCCTGTAAAACTGGGGCAGCTCTTCTAAAGGTGATGGTATGGTCCTAAACTCTTCTGCTGCAGCACGAGTGTCTGAAGGTTTGTGGTGAGTTCCTTTAGGCTTTGACGGCTGGCCGGTAGAAAACATTCATCCTTTGACTGGAATCCTGAAGCTGAAACATGACCAGGGTCCCCACAGTCTGGCCCCAGGATGAGTTTGAAGTCCCGCCCCCACCACGTAATCCAGCAGAAGTTATCTGAGAAGGACTTTCATTTTTTTTATTAATGGAAATGGTCTTGTTTAAAAAATGTACATACACACCTCAGATAATTTTTTCAGGTGGTGATTCTTGAGTCGGGCAGCACGGTGGCTCAGTTGGTAGAGCTGCTGCCTCTCAGAGAGCAGGCTGCCCCGGTTCAAATCCCAGTCCGGTGACCTTTCTGGGTGGAGTTTGCATGTTCTCTGTGCTGTGTGGGTTTTCTCCAGGTACTCCAGTGTCCCTGTGATGGACTGGAGACCTGTCCAGGGTGTCCCCCGCCTCCTGCACAGTGATTGCTGGATTTGGGCACCAGTATCCCCAATAGCTAACAGCTGTTAGCCTGCTCTTTTAATGCTAACAGCTGTTAGCCTGCTCTTTTAATGCTAACAGCTGTTAGCCTGCTCTTTTAATGCTAACAGTTGTTAGCATTTTTTAAAAATGCTAATAATGTAATTTCTAGATTAGTGTTAGAACCTCCGAGGTAAACGGATCGATTTGGTCACTGGAGTAGCCAATATGCTAGTTAGCTAAGCCCACTAATCTTTTTAGCTTTTGTTCGGCTCTTGTGGAGAAAATAAAAGCTGCTGTAAAACACTGAAAACTCCTTTTAATGGTTGAACAATCTGTAACTTGGCGATAACAGCTAAAGCTAGCTGTCCATGCTAACAGTATTCTTTTCTCAGCTGATGTTTTCTGCTGAATTTGCTGCTTTCGTTCTTGTGCAGAAAAGAACGTTTTTTAAAGGACGGTGTAAAAAGATTTGTGTCGATAAGAGACGCAGCTTCTGAAAGCTGATGGTCTTTCTGCCTGTTTCACCAGTTTTTTTGTCTCAGTTTGCACCAATCCTGTCACTGTTAAACTTTGATGATGTGCTGAAACGGATAAAAAGATCAATCAGTAAAATCACAGAAAAAAGCTTCAGTTGTTTTGAGTCTCTTCAGCCGAGCTGAGAGGGTTTCTCTACATGATGGACGTCCTCGCCACCTTGTGGCGCAGAGTTTCTTTACTAAACATTTATGAAGGGAGAAAAAACATTTATTAACATATATTGTTTTTATTCAGGGACCTCAAGGGCCCCAAGGAGTCCAAGGAGAGAGAGGACCAACAGGAGAGGGTCTCCCTGGACCAAAGGTGAGTGTCTCCATGTCCAATATGTCCACCGTTTGGACCCTGATTTCACCTGACCCTCGGACCTGTTCTGATGTCCCGTCTGGACTCCAGGTTGTGACAGGAAGTTAACGTTCAGTTACGTCTCAGATGTTACATGAATTCTGTCGGAAATGTGCGCTGGCGCTTCGTTGCCTCGTGATGCTGCGGTCAACTCGACCTCGCCAGAGGAGACGAGGACATCTTGGCTCAGAGCTGAAGACTCAGAGACTGGACGGGTGTGACGTGTCCCTGTGTCATTTATGTGAGTGTCTAATTAATTAATTTGTTCTCTCTAAACAGCTGATTGGCTGAAAGCAGTTTAAAAGGACCAAGCTCTGCCTGCTGGATGAGTGAGGGAGGCCAGAGGAGAGACGTTGGTCTGATGTTGGGGTCTCGTCCGGGATCAGATCACATAATTGATCAAAACTTTTTACATTGTCTGCAAAACACCAGCAATCAAAAAGGACCTCCTTTTCTTGAGCAAATTCAACATAACTCTTGGGGGATTGTCCGGGATAAAAACACAAACGATAAGAATCTGTCTGTTGCTTTAACTTTGTCCCCTGCTGAGTTGGCCACGCCCCCCAGGCTGCAGTCTCCTCCCACTGAAGTAAGTTCTGCAGCAGAGCTGTCCAGTGCTGAACGTGACACGGACGGTCCGTCTGAGGCCATGCTACGAAGTCGACGTAGAAAACCATCAGACCAGCGTCTCTCCTCTGACCTCTCTCACTCATCCAGCTGGTGGAGCTTGGTCCTTTTAAACCACTTTCAGCCAATCAGCTGTTCAGAGCAAGCAAATTAATTAATTAGACATACATAAATGACACGGGGACACGGCACAACAAGGGACACCTCCACGGCAGAGTCTAATTAACATGAACACCAACAGAACCCGCCTACAGTGTGATGTCTGTCGTCACTTCAAACCAGAAGCTTCACAAAGGATTCAGTTCCCAAAGCAGGAACGTTCAGATGAGGAACAGAACCTGAAGCATTCAGACCTCTGAACACAGAACTGGACCTGGTAGAATGATGACACAACTCATTTCTGGCTCATGGGCCTACGTTTGACCCACACGCTCTGACTGACCACATCACGGGTCAGATTCCCTCAGAAGTGTTTAATTATTTTAGGATTTCATTCAACCAGAAGTCTTCTGGTATTTAAATGTAAGATCTGCGTTGAAGCTGTTCTCTGACTGAAAGTACAAACCAGAGCTCTTCTGAATCTCTGAGACGTCTTCGGATCTCCTGTAAGGTCTTCAGGTCTCCTGTAAGGTCTTCAGGTCTCCTGTAAGGTCTTCAGGTCTCTTGTAAGGTCTTCAGGTCTCCTGTAAGGTCTTCAGGTCTCCTGTAAGGTCTTCAGGTTTCCTCTAAGGTCTTCAGGTCTCCTGTAAGGCCTTCAGGTCTCTTGTAAGATCTTCAGGTCTCTTGTAAGGTATTCAGGTCTCCTCTAAGGTCTTCAGGTCTCCTGTAAGGTCTCAGGTCTTCAAGTCTTCTGTATGGTCTTCGGGTCTCCTGTAAGGTCTCAGGTCTTCAGGTCTCATGGAAGGTCTTCAGGTCTCATAGAAGGTCTCAAGTCTTCAGGTCTCCTGTAAGGTCTTCAGGTGTCCTGTAAGGTCTCAGGTCTTCAAGTCTCCTGTAAGGTCTCAGGTCTTCAGGTCTCCTGTCTCCTGCATTGCCTGAGGGGAAGATTCTGGTGAAGTTCTCCCTGACGGGCTCTGGATCGTCTCTTTGTGCCTCCAGAGAACGACGAGGTGTTTCCCTCGTGCAGCAGATGGGCCTCCAGGCACCGTTGTTGTTTATTTGATGGAAGTCCTGCAGCAGGTCTGGCTGTAAACTCCCAGATGACGTTCTCGCTCTGGAACAGTTCCTTGCACCACGGGCCCCGACACGCTCCAGCTCCGCAGGCGAGCAGCGTCAGTAAAACCTTTTCCACATCATTAACGCCTCCCACCCTGGAGTTGCTCCTGCAGCGTTTCCCCGCTCGTTATCGTGCAGATGTTTGTGAGGTCCGTTTCTTTGGATGGAAACAATGAAAACCTGTTGAACCTTCAGACGTCGTTTTTAATTCACTGCAAGTCTCTGATGTTCAGTTCAGACTAACCGCTGAGGCTGGAGGTAGTCCTGGTCCGGATCTAGTCCCGTTTCCATCAGCTCACTGCAGCCGTTGAGCACCAAGAGGCTTCTGGAGTTGGACCTTCAGAGAGCTCCACAAACGTCCAGAAGGCGTTCTCGAGCAGTTCAACATTTCAGAGTATCTGTGGAAGCGAAGCGACTCTGGAAAAGACCCGAGAGGATCCGAGCGAGTTCCCCATGACCAAGAACTGGGAGAAGAAAACCCAAAAACTTGATGCAGACTGATGGAGCCGTACACACCTACAGAGGAATAATACAGTGTTCACATTTACGTGATGTTCTTAAATGCACCATACACCACCGGCGACAAAGTCTCATTTGTTGATGCATGTTGCCCGTCAGGCGCCAAAGATCTGAGTCAAAGATTTAATGTGATCTTTTAGACCTGGTCCAAGTGTTGGGGATGACTCTCATGAGATATTACATTGATTTATTAGAAAAAAGTAACGGTACTATGAGGGCAACATGGCAAATACTGAAGTGTCCTGAAAAATCATGAAGTAAAATCAGGTATTCCACAGTATTTTGTAAAGGACGGTAAAGAAATCCATGATCAGATGAAAACGTAAATGGATTTAATCATTATTTTATGAATGTTGGAGTCTCGTAACTAAAATACTAAAAGTAGATAAAAATGTGAATCATACAGTCACGGGTTGTTCCAACAGTATTTTTCTTGATGGAACTGCCAAAGAAGAAATAATGAATATTGTAAAAAACCTTGCAGACAAAAGAGCCACAGATCGGGTGGACATGGACATGATGTTTGCAAAGAATATAATGAATTGTGTTATTGAGCCGTTTACATATATTTGTAATTTATCCTTATCAACAGGAATATTTCCAAACATGAAAATAGCCAAGGCATTTCCTCTTTTTAAAAATGGTGACAAACGTGTGTTTAACAATTACAGATCAATATTCTTGTTGCCACAGTTTTCAGAAACTTTAGATAAATTATTTGTGATTAGTTTGGATCAATTTATCAATTAAGTAACAGTCAATATGGGTTTAGACCTAAAAAGTCTACATCAGTGGCTCTCATGGAATTAATAGAACAAATAACTTCTGTTGACCAAATAAAGTACTGTGTTAGTATTTATGTTGATTTAAAGAAGGCATTTGATACTACTGACCACAGTATTCTTCTTGAAAAGATCAATAAATATGGTATTAGAGCATTACAGTGGGTATCTAGTTATTTAGAAGAAAGGAAACAGTTTGTTCAAATAAATGATGGAAGGTCTGGACTTTGTAACATCACATGTGGAGTGCCTCAAGGTTCTGTACTTGGACCTAAGTTATTTATTTTATATATAAATGACTTGGTTAATGTGTCAGGACTGTTAAGATGTGTTTTATTTGCAGATGATACATTTCTTTGTTTGGGGAAAGATATAGAACGAATGTTAGAGATGGTACAGACAGAATTTGTGAAAATACAAAATTGATTTCAACTTAAATTATCATTAAATTCTGATAAAACAAATTACGTGATGTTCAGTACCAGTAAGAGAAGTGTCGATGCTCCGTTTAGAGTCGATGGTGTTGAGATTTGTAGAGTCAGTGAGGGGAAGTTTCTGGGCATCATCATTGATGAAAAGCTGACATGGAAACTTCACATAAATAATTTAAGAACAAAAATATCTAAATTTATTGCAGTACGGTACAAAGTGAGGGAGTTACTCAATGATAAAACTCTGTTTATGTTGTATAATGCAATTATTGTCCCACACTTAATTTACTGTACTGAAGTCTGGGGTAAAACATGTAAAACAATTACAAACACTATTTTTATTTTGTAAAGAAGAGCTGTAAGAATTATCACTAAAGATTATAGCATCCATCAAATACGTTGTTTTATCAGCTGAAGATATTAAAATTATACGACTTGGTTGATTATAATATTTTACTGTTTATGTGTAAGGCTCACAAAAACATACTAACTTCTAATATCCAAGTACATTTAGTTAAAAGGGAGAGTGGTTATTATCTGAAGGGGACAGATGTTTGTGAAGCACTGGTTTCGTACCAGTTTGAAGGAGCGGTCTAGTATAATTCAGGGAACAGGACTGGTCTGAAGGATGAAGTTAAATCTGCCACATCTATGTACATATTCAAGAAAATGTTCAAAGTTAATTTTCTAAAGGACTATGGAAAAGTATGTGTATCTAAACAAATTGTTGTTTGAGTTGATGTTTTTATTTAGCTTTGTTTTTTTTAATTTTGTTTGAATATATTCTGGAAAAAGGGGCCGATATAAGATTTATTCTTCTGCCGCCTTTCATTTTATTTTTGACTGTATATATATTTTTGTTTTCTATTGTATGTAGTTATTTTGTTTTTAATGAAATTAATAAATTTCTAAAAAAAAAAAATTAAAACAAAATGTTCTACCAGACAAAACCCCACATGTGCAGGTATAAAAAGGAGCCACATCTGGGCTTGCAGACTCTAAACGTCCATTAAAGCTGGTGTGCACGTCTCGTGCTGCTTCATGTGTGTGAACATCAGATTTCCTGAGTAGAAAATAAAAGCGAGACCTTGGTGAACGGTTGTGCTGCTGTCATAAAGTCCAGCTCAGTAATTCTCCACTGCTTTCTCTGTCCGCCTCCGCAGGGCGAGCGGGGCTTCGAGGGGCCGCGAGGGGCCAGAGGACAGCCGGGCGCCGGAGTCAAAGGAGACAAGGTAGAGTAGAGAGGCCGCGCACGTGGCGCCTCGCTGCAGCGACTTCACAAAGACCAAGGACGGTAGAAAGTACAGCCTTTGTGAGCAGAGCCAGGGATAAAGGCAGCGAGCGTGATGGAGGTCGGAGTCTGGAGGTGACGAATCGAGGCTGGGCGGTGTAGGAGGACGGAGCTGTTGTGAACGTGGGAACAGCTGAGGCGCTCTGACACAGGGAGGGTGTTCAGCTTCACAAAGTGCTTTAAAACGCCGTCTGGTCGCAGGTGCACACACGAAACGCTCAGTCTGAAGGTTTTATCAGAACTTTCTGGATTTGATCAACGTTTTATGAATAAGACAAACGACTTGAAAACCCACGAGACGAACGTCGTGACGTTCTGTGAACACACAAAGCCCTGCAGGTGGGCGTCACCGGCGTCCAGCTGACGGTGCCATGCTCCAACATCCAACACTTACGTCCCATCTTCATCCTCAAACTGTTTTTGTGTGAACCTTCAGGGGGAGTTTGGCCCTCCAGGTTTTCCAGGACCCATCGGCCTCCCAGGAATTGGCATTCAAGGTGAAAAGGTAAGCAATGATGTGTAGCATCACACAGAGGAGGTCCAACCAGAAACTGAACATTTTTACATGAAATAAATCATTTCAAAGCTTTGATTATTCCTTGAGCTCTTGTTTTTTTTCCTTGCAGGGTATCGAGGGTCCAAGAGGGCCCCCAGGGGGCAGAGGTCCACCAGGAGAGGGATTTCCTGGACCCAAGGTTCGTCCTTTTATGATGATCCAGACAAACCGCAGCCATCAAACGTTTAAATTAGTGAGGACTAAAACAAGTCTGGTGGTCCACGAGGACCACATGGTTTCTGACTTCTTTCATGGCTGTGGTCCACCAGAACTGAGCTCAGGTCCGTTCAGTAAACAGAACCAGCGCGCTGTAAGTGGAGAAGGACCGGACGCAGCTGCACAGTTAAAGACGTCCCGTCTCACTGCGCTGTAAGAAAAGATCTTTATGTCTCTGGTTCTCCAGCAGCTCCGTGGAACGACCACAGATTTATGGGTCATGGTCTTTGAAACGTCACACGGTTCCTCGCAGTATGCCCCGCTAGTGAAAGCTACAACGTTGCACCACGCTAACTCTTCTACAGCATCACTTCTGTCACGTCACAAGACTTGAATTAGCCTCTTCTTCACGACTTCATTTGACCAACTGATAAAAAGAAACGTTCACGACCAACACGTGTGAAAAGACGAATACGTGACACCTTAATGGTGCCGTGAACAACTGGACCACCAAAGCATTTAGGCGTAAAACGGCTCAAAACTTAGGTTGTCACGTCAAAATCCAAGATGGCCACCACCAAATATCTATAACCTGACCGTCCTCCAAACCCCTCAGAGATGGAGGACATGGCATACGGCTTGTCTCAGATCAGTTTAGTGTCACAGTGCATGGTTCCAGTGGAAGCACTGGTTTTATATTGCTGGACTTATTGTTTGTCCAACGTTAACGGTGTAAGATCGTACCTCACACAGGGGGACCAGGGGCTGCCCGGCGAGGTTGGCTCCCCAGGAGAACATGGTGCCGGCGAGCCGGGATCAAAGGTGCGTCAGAGCTCGGCGATTAGCGTCAATCCTCCGGATTAAAGTTGGCGTTCAAGTGTTCAGGCCGTGAACTGACACAGATTTCCGTCTGTCTGCAGGGTGAGCCGGGGTCACCGGGAACAGCAGGTCTGCCGGGGTTACCGGGGGAGGACGGCGCCCCAGGACAGAAGGTTTGGACACTGAGTAATCTCTGGATCAATGATCAGATACAAGTTTGGTGAACGTGTGTGTGGGTGTGCACGGATTTAGGGCGAGCCAGGAGCCGTCGGTCTCAGGGGGGCAGAGGGGGCACCTGGGATTGGGACTCAAGGTGAAAAGGTATTGAAGGAACGTTTCCTCGACTCCTTGTAACAAGTAAGAGCTGCTGAATTAATGCATTCGATCTTAATGTGGCTGCTCAGGGGGACCAAGGCCAAAGGGGAATACGGGGTTTGACGGGTCCACCTGGGATTGCTGGACCCTCCGGACCAAAGGTGCAGACCCAGGTTGTAGCTGAAGAACATTTCTTGACTGTTTTTAACCACTTCTTCCATCTGTAACCAGGGAGAACCAGGAGCATCAGGACGTTTGGGTTCTCCTGGTCCACCGGGACGCTTCGTCACCGGATCCAAGGTACCGTCCAGATTTTCTGCCGTTGAAGAACTTTCACGTTTCAGCTGCGTGTTTTGTGTGAAGCTCCTTCAGGGCCTCGTGTCACTGGAGACAATTGGTTCACGTCAGAATATTTGAACTCACTTAGAACGTTATTTTTATTGAAGGTTAAAATTCAAGATGATGACCAGGGCCAGGGCGCTCCGAGCTTCTCACCAAACAGCTAAACGTGCTGCAGCTCAGATTATGTGTTGAGGATGACTCTCAGCTACTACCACACCGACGTTTAGCTCAGTATCTGTAAAACGAGTCGTAGTCCTGCTTGTGTTACAAAGGTCAGCCTTCTTGAAGTTAGACGTTCATCGCATGACCTCAGTGAATTCCATCTGTTGGTTCAGGGGATATTTTGCTAACAGACACACTCGCCCACGGCAGCAGGTGATAAAACTAATTAGGAGGATGATTTGGAATTGTAATAAAAAGGATTAGCGTCTTTGCAGAATGACCTCATTGAGCCACAAATCAAAAGTTCCGAAACATTTCTGTTGTTTTTCAAACTGGGGAAGAAGCGACCTCAGAGGAACCCAGAACACGGTTTGCCGAGTTCTTGCAGAACCGATCCGAACGTCTCTTTGTGTTCCTCAGAACAGATGATGAAAGAAGAACCAGCAGAAACCGGTCTGAGGTCAGACCCTGAATCTGTTGCAGAAAAACAAATTAAAAGAAAATCAAAAGAGAAATGACATTTCCTCTAACTCCAACGATTTTCTGAGAATTCAGGAGAACTCGACAGCAGCTGTATCTCCGAACGCTGGCGTGTGTTCTTAGATGACTGCGAGAGTAGAAATTCAATTTTCTGAAGATTAGCAAGAAGACGACATCACCAAACTATTACTGAGCTCTGAGCACGAAGGCCTGAAACTGCAGCAGTTCTAGACGCTAAGCTTTAGTGCCTCACATCTATTTCAAGATCCACATGGTAACAAACATCTATTTACCTGCCTGTGACTTGAAGGTTTAGTGTTTTGAGGAGTCCTTCTGAGTCTGAAAGGTTTTTAACAGATTCTGACTTTAATCACATGCGCTCTGCTGCATCTTTATCTTCGTTTAGTAAAAAGTCACGTGTTTTCTTCGTGTAAATCTGTGTGCATTTGGTTGATGTTACCTTTTTTAGACCTGTTCTGAAAAAAACACTTCCTTGTCTGCACTGGCGGGTTATTTTGGGACCAAAGCCCAGTTTTGGTCCGGCGGTGATACGTCTTTTTTTGGGGGGGGGTTTGGTTTAAGACAATAAAATGAATGATGTCCAGACGGCTAGAGATAAAAATATATGTGTGAGAGAAGGTGGAGATGCACAACAAGCCTTTAAGAGTCTGCATGTCAGTAAAATAACCATTAAAAACAACTGGATCAAGTAAATAACAAACTGAAAAGTTACAATTCAAATATATTAGATGTACTTAAATTTCATTTTTTAAATAAAATGTATTTAAATAAGAAAATAAACCATAGTCCTTTAAATCAAATATACGAATTAAAAGATTGAAGCAGAGAATTTTTAAAAACCAACCAGTGAGGGTGTGAGCGTCAGAAACTGGAAACAGGTGTGACTGTCAGAAACTAGAAACAGGTGTGAGTGTCAGAAACTAGGAACAGGTGTGACTGTCAGAAACTGGAAACAGGTGTGAGTGTCAGAAACTAGGAACAGGTGAGCGTCAGAAACTAAGTACAGGTGTGAGCGTCAGAAACTGGAAACATATTTTATAGTCAGAAACTAGGAACAGGTGTGACTGTCAGAAACTGGAAACAGGTGTGACTGTCAGAAACTAGGAACAGGTGAGCGTCAGAAACTAAGAACAGGTGTGAGCGTCAGAAACTGGAAACATATTTCAGATTCAGAAACTAGAAACAGGTGTGACCATTTTTTTCATTTTTCATTTACCCTTTATTTATCCAAGTAGACTCATTGAGCCACGAGAACTCATTTTCAAGAGAGACCTGTTTAGGGAGCACATGGTGGCGGTTAAGGGCCTTGCTCATGGACCCAGAGTGAGGCGAATGAGGGTGGAGGGAGGTGTGGGTGTTTCACCTTTTCCACCCACATTTTGATGTTGACGGTACCGGGAGGTGAACCTGCAACTTTCTGATCACAACCCCATCTTCTAACCTCTGTGCCACCACTCCCCACCATCAGAAAATGGAAACAGAAGTGAGCGTCAGAAACTGGAATCATATTTGATAGTCAAAAACTAGAAACAGGTGTGACCATTAGAAACTTTAAACAGGTCTGTCAAAAACTAGAAACGAGTGTGAGCATCAGAAACTAGAAACAGGTGTGAGTGTCAGAAACTAGAAACAGGTGTGAGCATCAGAAACTAGAAACAGGT